CCAAAAATCGATAGCTGCATTCTGACCGTAATAACTTGGGTCGTCAAGTTTTGGGATGCCGGTGGCGTTACTTGCAGATTCTGGAGAATCAGTATCCCCTATGCCATAGACTTTTCCTCCCAGTGTGACGAGAAACAACACTTCGAGCAGCATTATATAAGAATGTTAAATGACACGGTTTACTTTTAGATTGATTTTTATGGTAACGCGGAAGCCGCGAGTGAGTTGTATAAAGGAGTTGGTGAAAAGAAACTTGGACAAATAAAGGAGTGTGGGTTGATTCGCGTTTCCTTTCGGATATCAAAAGATATTAATAGACCTTATTTTTTCGGTCTATAAATAAAGCACTATAGAATATCTTTTAAGGGATTCAAAGGTACTTCGCGCAGGGATTTTTTTTTTTTTTACTGATTATAACAAAAAGAAATTCATTCATTATAATCTAGAAATCATACGCGCATGGCTGCGGTATTCCGTCGAGAGCAAGCCTTCAATTTAACGACTGATGAAAATTTTCACAAGATTATAGACACATATATGATTTTCGATTATGATTACGAGATCGTTCTATTATTGATCTCTGTTTATTGTTTCTGTTTTTCTGTCTCATTCATGCAGCAGGGCGAGAGTTTTATTTGTCACTTAACGAAAGTATCATCGCGCAACAACAACAAAAGAGCAAACCTAATTTAACGATTTATAAAATTCCACATTTAAACAAAAGGTCATGTTAATTAATCAATCGGATGCATAACATCACACTACAACTACAACTGTATATATAACAATGCAATGTTAACGCGTAACTGTCCGCCAAAAGTGATACAGTTGGTGACGATCGAAAGTTTGTCTATGGTCAAATTATTCATGTTTGCCTGTAGGTGGTTTAACAAATTAGGTACTCTGTAAGTTGTGTATATTAAGAATACCTTAAAAAGAATTCAAAACTGGATTTTTTCCGATTATAGTCAAGATATTGTGCATTCAAAAATGTATAGATTAAGACGTGCCCCACATCGTCCGCGAATATTTGTGTGAAGACTCCAACTTTATATTATGTTTCCTAAATGAGTAATGCAAGCGACCATTCGTTTCAAATGAAACATATGTGATCGAATCCATGGAACAGGCATATTTGCTGATTTACTGTGTTGAAAAGCTTCCTAGCTGAGACTCCAATTGTACGTATTTATTCAGGATAAACTTCTGAAACAAATAAGAGTAAACAATTTTGAAACTTTTTTTTTAAAAAAAAATATATGCAGTATATATATATAGTATATTTATCGGACCGAGAATTGTGAATTCCAAACTACTGTATTATCATCGATTTTAAGAATTATCGAGTCCGAAATCTGGTATAAGTATAACCAGTCAATTTAAATCATGGGTACCACTGTTTACGATTTTCACTGATTGTTATTTATTTGAAGGTAAACAATCCAAATTTTAATGATACACGACTATCCGAATTAAGTTAAAGATGTGTTTTTTAAGTTAGCATGACCATTTGGTTATTAATTTTTCCCCTAATCCAGTGTTTATCTTCCGACTGCAATAAATAAAGAATTCTCGTCCCGCCTTACATAATTACAGTAACTTGCTTTTAAAGTTGAGAAAATCAGAGGAGCAACAAAACAGCGGACTTTCTCCATCCAATTAGTCTTTGAAAAAACTAATGTAACGAAAGTCGTAATCGAATCCATCCGTTTTATTAATTTGCAAATATTTGGGGGGATCGTAATTTGCAACAATCTTCTGCAACAGAAAAGAGAATATGGAAGAAATAATGTAACATACTTTAAAAAAAAAAAAACTTATATTAAATAGTTATTTTATTTACTATTGTTATTTAATATCACTTAACAACAATTAAGCATAAATCTGATCATGTTAATTAATGTATCACTACTAATTTTTTTTCTACTTGTTAATTAAAATATTTTTGTAAATTATTAATATTTTTAGGCATTTGTCTCTTTATATTACATTTAACAATATTTTATAGGTTTTCTAGTAGAGTAGATTGAGATCTGAACTAACGATTAATCAATTAATGATCTTTGAAAAATTTTTTCAAGAATTTTGTTGCAAATATGACTGCTATGCTTCAGATTGTTGCTCTGCTAAAATCACTATTTACAACTAAACATTCTTTTTATAAATTTTCAATATAAAATTTTCTTGTTATAATTTTACTAAAGCAAAACAATCTAGTCTTTTTATTATACTAAATTTATTCAAGCAAAAATCTTTTATCAATTTTTAAAATATTTTAAATAAGCTTATAGCCCATATATCTTCTATTTTATTTTTAAACATGTTAAAAATTATATTATTTATAAATATGGTTTTTTTTTGTTTATTTTTTGTATATTTTTTAGTTTATTTAATATATTTTTTATATTTTTTTGTAAACATTAATATATTAGTAGAAATAGTATATTTATAATTAAGACTCTTTAAATACTCTTAATATTGTATAAGATATTCTTTTATTTACAAATAATTAAATAGTCAAGAATATAAAAAAACTAAACTATTATTATAAATATAAAGCTTAAGTTTATATGATTTTATAATTTCAATATTTTAAAACAATTGTTATTTTTTTTATAAAAAACATTATTAGTTTTTATTTTTTAAAAATTATGGTTATTAATAAAAAAATACTAAAGTTTTTTAAGAAATTATATACTTTTGTACTAAAAATATAAAATAATTTGTTATTATAAAATTAATCATTTGATTTTATATTTAAGTAAAAAAAATATATTATTTATTTATTATAAATAAAAGTATATACAGTATATCTTAATAATTAAATATAATTATATTAATTTATTAATTCTTAATCTAAAATTTATATATTGTATATTGTATATATTTTATATTATTATAAAATAATATTTAATTGATAATATATTTTCAACTAATATAATTTTTAATTATTTACTATATGTAAAATATGTTTTTAAAAAATATTTAAATTCAATTTCATCATATATATAATATATACAATATATTATAAATTTATTTAACAAAAGTTTAATTATTATTTTAACATTTTATATTTACAGTATATCTTATATAAATATAATTTTTAAAGTTAAACCAAACTTAACTTTCTATTAATATTTAAGAAAAATATTTTGAATATTATTTAATATTTCTATTTATCTTTATATAAATATAACTATTTTTATTTTTATTTTTATTTTATTATATTAAAATAATAAAATTTTCATTATTTATTATTTGCTAATAATTTAAATAAGTATAAATTATTAATAAAAAAATATTTGTTTCTTATTTTAAATAGGCTTAACAATTATTTAGTTTAAACTAATCAATTCCAATTATTATTTTATTATATAAAATAAAAAAATTAATTTTAAAAATATATTATAATATAAATAAAGCAATATAATATCTAAATATATTAAAGTATTATAATTATATATACATATTTGTCTTTAAATAATACTTAAAATTTAATATATTTGCTTTTTAAAATTGACTCAATATATAACAAACATAATTAAAAAATTTAATATCAGGCTATTTTAAACTTCAATTAAATTATTTGACTAAATACTTTAATAAATACTTTTTTATTATTTAATATTTAAGTAAATTGATCTTTTATTTAATATATCTAATATTGATCTTTATTGAATTTACTATTAGAATTCAAAATAAAAAAAAATAATCTTTTTTATTACTATTAAAATATGATTTGTTTTTTATTCAACATATTTAATATTAATTTTTTATTGAACTTATTACTAAAATTAAAATAATAAAAGAATAACAATTATATTTTAAAAAATATATTACAACTTGAAATTACTATTTAAATATTTAAATAAAACTTTATTCAAAAGTTAAAAACAAAATAGATTACTAAATAATAATAAAATTTTTGCTTGAATATAAAAAAAAAATATTTTTTATAGATATTAATATCTAGCTTTATACAAAAGATCTATATTATTAAGAAATAAACAAAAACATTCATTGTTATTATCAGCTCTATTTGTATAAATAATTAAAATCTCTGATTACATATTATATTATTAAGTACTTAATTATTAAAATAACATTTGCAAAAATATTGTATTGATATTGGCTATAATTGACAACTTTAATTATTCATAGAGTACAACTCCTTAAAGTTTCAGATAATAATTGTTATAAAATAGTTTCTTAGGTATATTAAATCTAATTATAATAAGTAAATAATGTCAAATTTGATAATAATTGTTATATCAAAATTTTTTAAATAATAAATTATTTGTTTTTTTCTAAAAATTATAAAAAAAAATTTATGTATATACATAATAAAAAATAAATAAAAAATGATTTATCATATAAATTTTTGATTTTATAAAAATCAGGCATTACTTTCGGTGTTGACTGTACATATATTATTAAATGAATATTGAGATTCAAGCTTTAGTTTGAGTTTCTTGAACTCTTCAAAACTGATGTGAATATGAATAGAATAGCTTGTCACCCAATGTTTTCAATTTCACTATGAGTATAACCTTCAACATATTTTGACATTCCAACATATACTGTACAAGTTAATCACACTGTAACAGATAGAAAATCCATTTTCGGGTGAATATGAAGTTCTATTTGAAAACTGAATTAATCTTCTTGCATGGAAAAGATGTTTACTGCTTCACCAGGTAAAAAATTATTTTCTTTAAAATATGTAAGACGAGATAATATTCGATCTCTCCATTTACTTGGAGTTTCTTCTGACCTAACAGTCCCATTTTGCAATATTCAATCCATTCTTCATCTGATCATTTAGAACCACCATGAGCTACTAAACTGCTAAAATTACTCATTTATGACCTATTATAGTGTTTAGACAGTTACTGTATATCGATTATATGATTGTGATTTATAGGGATTTAGACCTATTGAATTTGATTCTTTATACTCTAGAATGCATGATTCAATTTTAGTGTAGATTGGATTGTTAGACCATTTTTTACGAAATATAGGATATATCAAAACAGCAGATTATTATGGAAATAATAAGGCTGGATATAGTAATACATAGTATAGACTTTATGGGTTTTAACCCCATACCGAAAAATATGGAGCATTTATCTTTGGAGCTATGAAGTTTTCTGCATATTACTAATGTGATTCTCCGGATAGCTATTATTAAAGGAAGTAGAGGACGGAATATAGTCCAAATCATCAGACTCTTTAGAAACATGTCTGTAACTCATGTAGATTGATAAAATGAGTTTTTGGACTATATTTTCGGCTATTAATGTTTGAATAGTATATTTTTGTATATATGTGTTGGGGAGGATAAGTATTAGTAATATTTTTGTGATGTAATAGAAGAAAGTGTATTTCGTGTATTAAAGTGTTAAACAGTAAAGTCTCTCGAGTTCAAGCATTGGTATTTATATAAAATCAACTGTGCAGATATTATCCGGTTATGAACATTTGCTCATGATAATTGATGGAGCATATGAAATAAGCATATACTCTATTATATGTTCGATAAATAATGCATAATAAAAAATTGATTATGATAGTGAATACAGTATCGAGTTAAGTTGATCAATGACATTAATATTCGTAATCACCATCTATGCTTTTACTGTTGCTAATGGGAATGAATTCTGATATTTATTTATATGGGTAATTATTTTTGAAGACGACAAAAATGCTAGATATGATTTTTTCGGAACCTACTTTTAAACAATACACACATAATGATCACAATTGTAGTACCAGAAAATTTCCGGTCCGCCTTCGAAAAGAATTACCCATATAACAATTTAGACTATAAGTTTTTTCGCCACAATATTCGCCACTACCCCAAATACCCTCTATATAATTTTTTATATTTTCTTTATTATGGTTTTATTACATATAGTACAGGTTACTGATCTATTAAAATCAAAGTAATTATTTATAAAACTATGTTTCAAAGTTAAATAAGGGAATCACTCTAATACCATTTTAATAACATGTATTTGTTTCTTTTCTGGATCTTTAAGTAGAATAGAAATTGGTGATTAAAGTTTGGATGGTGTAGACTGATCATTTATCTGTAGTATCTTACCTGAGTTTCCAATTAATTTAGCCTGCCAATCTATATTCAGGAGGTCACAAAGTGTCCTGCTTCCTAGAGATTTTATCGGACTTGTCTGTAAGTTTAACGCACTCATGTTATTATTTTTTATGAGATCACAAGTCAATTTAAATATCTACATTGGATATCGCTTACTAAATGGAGGCACTTATGTGCATAAAAAATATTAAATGTATATGCTATTTCAGTAGCTCCGCTTCTTACATTAATATTTATTGCATAGTAATAATAAGCAGATAAAATTATACAATTAGTTCAGTGCGAGCCGATATAACAGTGTCGATTTCAGATGCTTCACATTTAATATAGTAATATCCATCTTTATATTCAGCTTCTATACCTTCTTCATGCTCATGTCTTAACTTGCATATCTGGAATAATGATTCAGCATTAATCCCATAATAATCAACATTTTCGCTACTACATTCCTTATATAAATCGGGATATTGCTCCAATAATTTGTTACGAAAATAACCACGGGTATATGCTGGATTATTTTGCTTTTCAGATAGGGTCTTCTTGGGTAAAGCTTCTTTTCAGTTTTAGACGTAGATTCTGCATTTATCTTGGTTTTCGAATTGACAGAAACAGGAGATATACATACATCGACTTCTGGTTCAAATATAGGCGGTGCACTTGCCTGAGCTATCGGTGAGGTCTTCTTGGTCATGTCGACTCTGCTGATAATATTAGTAGATTCTGTATTAGATACATGATTGACAACTCCATTTTGCCCAGGTGGACTTTCGGTCTCACCTTTTCACTTTCACTAAAATAATCCAGAATTATTCGAATTTGAGGTTGTGTAAACTTTTAAATAGAATCCGCACTGAATTTCTTATATTCTTAATCTTATCAACTCCTATCTTTTCGATTAATTTGTAAAGTTTTATAGATATTTGGGTTCTTTTACGTAAAGTTTCCAAAGTTATTCCAGAAAGGTGTTTTATTATATCCTGGAATAATCGTTTTCTGGCTGTCTGTTCTGAAATGTTTTCTTTTACCATAAGTTCTTGAACTCCCATTTCAAATCTTTTTCCGTATGGAAATCTCTTTCTGTTTAGCTTTTATAGTATTTTTTCCCTCAATACTTACTTTTAGAAACAAATGAGCTAGCTCAACTTCTATTATCGTATTGATAGTGAGTACATCAACGACTTCGATGATATCCTCATCTGTGAACCATGAAGACACTTCTTGAATGAAATCTTGGGCGACTATATAATCATGCAAAACTTTTGTTTCTTCAGGCTGTATCGGCACCGACTTGCTGTTTTGCTCAAGTGGGACTTTCGGTCTCACTTTTTCACATGATTCTTCAACCGATATAGAGGATGATTCTTGATCCCGAAGTTTCTTTTCTCTAATGCGCCGAATTATTTCTTTACTGACCTTTTCCTTATTTTTGAATCTAGAAATTCATCGACCTCCATATCCTCCAGTGATTTGGTTTCTGTGTGGATAGATGATCGGCGTGAGCCGGCTAAAGGCCGAGTCTTTGACTCCTGATATACTGTATATCAGAATTAGATACGTTATCGGATGTATTAGGTGGGGAGATCTTAACTATTTCTGGAGAAATGAAGACTTACCTTTCGTGATGCTATCTGCTCGTGGGTATTGTCAGATTTCATTTCAGGAGAAATACTAGTATTGGCCGAAGATTGTTTGATTTCTTAATATCATCATCTAGATTAGCAATAATGTTAGTCTTTTCTTTATCTCTGCTCTAGATTCGTGAACCTGGATCCTGTTCTTCCAAGGCTCGCCTTAATTTTGCATTCTCGGCCTTACCTCAGCAATCTCACCCATAGCCTCATCATATTTAGCCTTAACTTCAGCATTCTCCTTTCTAAGTTCAGAAATCTCAGCCAAAAGCTTCGAATTTAATTCTTGCAACGAATCGATTTTTGATTGAGTGTCTGGCATTGTTTATACAAGATGCGGATATGTTCAAAAGTTTATTAAAAATCACATGACTCTGATCGTGACGGTTTTTGCAAAGAAAAACCCTCGAACTATGATTTATCTTTCATTCCAGCACGATTTATCCGTAAGACATATCCGAACTGGTGAATAAATTCAAAAGTGATTCGATCATAACACATGACTTTTAATTACGCCAAATAATGTGATGATAAAAAAATATATTTTATTAATCTGATCATTATACAGTATATTGTGTACTCGACTTTCTACTCTTCCAAAATGGATGCTTGGCAATCTCTCGTAAAGAAAGCAAAGAAAATTGGACATAAAGTTAGTAAAATAGTCCATAGATATCCCAAGTTACCAAAATTCTCCTTAGGAGAAGAAAAGTAAGTGTGCCCACATAGGTTTCCTAAGCTTTGCTCAATGTTGACTTGTATGGTTCGCAGTTTGCCCTTTCAGATTGGGTCGAAAGTTTCAGTGAAAAATTATAACACGTTTCTTGATCACAACGAATCAAGTGGATGCAAATTTCACTGGGACAACGGAAATGTTTACATCGTTGATATGGCCAACCCAGAACGCGAAGCTGTTATTGCACGGTTGATGAAATACTTCAATGTTCCCAATGGTGGCGTTGATGATGACCCTCCAATAGATATTGGAGGCCAATCATGTAAGAGAATTCTCTCTAGTTCTAGTTGATCTTTGGATCGTAATAACATTTCACATTTTTTCTATAGATCATTATGATCCAACTGTTATTGGAAAAAAAAAACTAGCACCAGACATTGCAATCTACCCAGATGTGGCATATGTTCCAAATCCTATTCTTCCGCATCCTGGTCCTCCCCCCAGTGATGTAAAGGTACATCGAATTGTATAAATGATCATATTTATTTTTTTAATATTAATATGTTCACATAGGGAAACCCACATGCACGAATATTCTGTGAAGTAGCTTTATCTCAGAGCGTCGCTCTCTGGGATCAAAAATGTAAGAATTGGATGCATGAACAATATGTGCGATGTGTATTAGGTATCAAGCTTCATGGTATAAGGAAAGGAGGTCATCATCGGTCAATGACGGTATGTCTAACTACTTGCTTCATTATTCCGCGGTTTCATCACTAAGAGTTTTTTTAATATTAGGCCAAGCTATGGACACGTCAGAGACCAGCACCACCAGCAGTGAGTGCAACAGTGCCAACAATGCCGGGAATATTTGTCCAAGAGGTAAGATTTATCTACTGTTAGTATTTCCTGTGATCAAGCATTGGAGCTTAAAGTATAGCTTTGCACTATGATAGTGGGACTTTGGAACTTTACAATATAATAGTCATCAACCTACTGGTTGCACTGGTGCGAACATTCCTGCCTACCAAATAAGTATTCCGGTATCGGACGTTTTCTGGGATCCACCAATTGTTGCGGGAACTCCGAATACTACCGGATATAAAATAACAGTTCCTAATTCAATTGTCGGCAATAATTTCATCATCGATTTATATAGAATTCAACAAATTGTTTTAAAAAAACAGTAAAAGATTAGTTAGCTATAATCTAGTGGCTTTTAACAAAGAAAAAAAAATCTAGCATGTTAATAAAAATTCTATGTAATTAATTGATCGATTAATAGGCAACTCGTAATGGATCGCGCGATATTGATTACTTTCTATTTTCCGATGCACGATATGTACAAGCTTTATTAATTTTATTTACTTCATAAAGTGTTAAACCTCGAGATCGTGACGGTTGCATATACAGTCACAAGTTCGAAAAAAATTTGCGTCTAAATTTTATTATCTCGAATTGCTCGAAGAAAATGCCAGACTATTGTGGCGCTGTGATACAGAATTTAAGTTACAATATTCATATTGCGTTAGTCCGAATCATCAAATACAAGATTTTGAAATTTACCCTCGCATTGGCCGTGCCAGCTCTGCTGATATCCCGTATAGTTGGTACTAGATCTCTCATTAATTATATTCGCAATATTATTCCGGGTACTTAGCATTCCTGCTTCTTCTTTCGTCTATTAATAAGTGCAATTGATCGTCAGTTCACATTATTCGCTGCGATAATGTTACTCATGGAGAAATGTTTTATAATTTCTATAACAATCTAATATTTTGCCTTTTATTCTTCTTTATTATTTATACTGTATTATCAAGATCTCTTTGATCTTCTTTGATTTTCCAAGAAATCTCTAAGAGTTCTTAAAGAATACTATTTTTAACACATTCTTATATGTGTATAATTTGTTTTTATCCAAATTTTATAGAATTCCCAAAATTACTTGAAAATAAAAGAATTTCTTTTATTATTCATAGATAGATTGTCAAATGTATTTTATTTTCAAGATAGGGTTCTGAAAAAGTATCAAACTGGTATCAAAGTGATATCAAAATGATACTGATTTATAGTAAATTTAATATAGGGTTGTAACCTACTTATATAAATTTATAATAAAATTAAATATTAAACTGATATTGAACTGGTATTAAAGTAATATTATTAGAAGTTCTATTTCAAGAATAAAATTATTTTTCTTCTAATTGATTTTTTTTTTAATTTTTCAGAAAAAATGCAAGAGTTTTTCTTAATGTATTGTATTTATTAATATAAAAAAATATTATTATTTTCCTGTAAAAATATTTCCAAAAGTTAATACAATAGTTAATATTAAATTATTATTTTTTTTAAATAAATCCAATTTCTTTTTTTACTTAATAAAACTATTTAGATTTTATAATTATTTGAAACCCATAATTTTATTTTTTATGTTACGATAATTTAATAATTTTGAAACCTATCAAATTAGTTAACTACAAATGGGAAGTGACTAATGGTGCCTTGAGAAAAAGAGTGAAGAGAATCCAAAAAATCTAGACTTTTCACTACTATTGTTAAAGAGGATGAGAAGTTAGCAAAACAAAAAATAGCATTAATCCGATCTTTTTTGGTATATTCCATTTCAGCCTTAAGTCGAGATGATATTGATTTTGTAATCGTCAAATGTTTAAAGACAACGAAGTGAATTACTGCGCCACATCACTGCGCCCTTGTGACCGCCAACAGAAATCGCGGTGATCTGTCACGTGACAAAGTCGCGTTGGAAAACCACATATTGATATATTTTGTCATACGTAATAAAACCGTGAATTATTCTATGACACGATTTTTTTAGCCTCGAATAATGCCTCATTTGAGCTCGAAACTTTCTGAAGCCCTCTATCATTTAGGTAAGTTTCCATTCAGAACATAATTTCCTCCAAGCAGGAAGAAACTTAAGTCTCTCTACACAGACTATTGGAATCGCGATCCAAGCTCGTGGGGA